CCAATAGGGTTCAGTAGGGTTAGGGTTAGGGTTTGGATTATTGCTAGGGTTCAATCCCTGATACCAACCAACCAACAAACAACAAACAAAAGTTATTAAACAAAGAAAAGCCTGGGACCAGACAGATTCTCAGCTGAATTGTACCAAACCTTTAAAGAAGATCTAATGCCAATGCTCCTCAAATGTATTCCATAAAATACAAAGGGATGGAACCCGTCCAAATCCATTGTCTGAGGTCAACCTCACACTCATACCAAAACCAGAGAAGGACACATCTCGAGGCAAGAAAACTACAGACCAATATCCCTGGTGAACCGAGATGCAAAAATACTTAATAAAATATCCGCCAATCACATTTAGCAACCGAGATGGACCATCATGGCCGCATTGGCTTTATACCAGGAATGCAAGGATGGTTCGACTTCCCCGAGTCAATTACTGTAACCCAGCACAGAAGCAGAATTAATGATAAATGTCACGTAGGCATCTCGGTGGGTGCAGAGAAGGCCGTTGACCCAACCCGGTGCCCCATTTAGGATAAAACACTGAGGAAACCCTCCTCAAGACACTGTAGCCAGGGCAATTAGGAAAGAGAAGGAAAGAAAGTGGATAAAAACAGGAAAGAAAGAACTCAAATCGTTGCCATTTGCCGATGGAAGAGGGAGACCAGACCCTTCTCTCTCACCCTGCACAAAAGCCAACGTGAAATGGATCCAAGCCCTCGGAATTAGGTCAGGAACCAGACCTGGAAGGAAATATGGGGTCAACCCTCCAGCACCGAGGCACCATTGGTGACGTTCTCAACAGGACCCCCTAAGTCCCAGGAAATATAAATGTGGTGGCATCAAATCGAAACCCTTCTGCGCAGCAAAGGGATCAGTGTGAAGAGAGAGCCTGCAGGATGGGAGGAAATCCTTGCTACCTGGCCTCATCCATAGAATACACAAAGGGCTCACAAAACTATTCCCCAAAACTCAAATACCCCCAGTTCCCAAATGGGCCGATCCATTAGGCCGACACTTATCAAAAGAAGAACTGCAGATGGCCAATATGGAAATATATGAAAATGTTCCATATCATTAGCCATTAGGGAAATGCAAATCAAAACCAGAGTGAGGCCAGGCGCGGTGGCGCACACCTGTCATCCCAGCAGCTCGGGAGGCTGAGGCAGGAGGATCGCAAGTTGGAGGCCAGCCTCAGCAACTTAGTGAGGCCCTGAGCAATTCAGCGAGACCCTGTCTCTAAATAAAATAAAAAGGGCTGGGGAAGGGGCTCAGGGGTGAAGCACCCCTGGGGTCAATCCCTGGTCCCCCCCCCCAAAAAAAAGTAAGTACCCATTGGCCTCATCCTCCTTGTCCCCCACTCTGACCTGCCTGTCAAAGGAGGGCTTCTATTGACACCCGAGCCAGCAAGTGCCTGCCACAAGGTCCCGGGGCGCCCGTTGCCCCCGCCGAAATGATGGCCAGCAGGGGGCGCTGGCGGGCCGAGCATGCGCAGTGTCACCAGGCAGCACAGCCCAGGGACCCAGATGGGACCTGCTTGATGCACAAAAGCAAGAGGTCGAACCATGTGCGAGCGACTGTGGTCACCACGCGATGTTTCCAAAATGGACCCGCCTCTGTGCCCATATCTCCATGCAGTGGTCCCACGGGGTGGCGGGCAGGAGGGACACCGGGCCCCTGGACTGTGTGGATCAGTTGCTCTGCAGCTGGAACTTAGTCAGTGGACTTCCTTGGGGTGGACACCCATCAGTGTCCTGTTTCTTTCTCAAGTGTGACATCCCGTTAGTAGGACCAGAGCTGAGCATCTCTGTGGTCCCTAGATGCAGACCCAGGGCTCGGGAACTCAGCCTGCAGGTGAGGTCACCTGCTGGACACGAATCAACTGGACTTCCTTCCAGCCACCGAAGACCTGCAGACATCTTTGGCAATTGCATTTTTTAAAAAAAGGAGTGGGGTGTCTTGTTCCCATTGCTGATCCTGTGGTCAGTGCAAGCTGGGAAATTGCCCTCTGCAAGACCTGGTCACTTGTGTGTCATCTCTACCCAACCAGGGACCACTGTGTGCCCTGCTGTGTTTTTGAAATGACCAGGAATTCCTCCCTCAATCTGGCTGTGGCCAGCATCCGGCTGGGGGTGGTGGTGGCATTTCTCCGACCTCTGAGTCCCCCCTGAACAGTGGCCACCCCCAGCCCACCCTCTGTTCCTTGAGAGCTGCTTAGAGTCGAGTGACAGCCGGTGACCCCCGGTCTGCTGGCCTTACCGGACAGGGATGGCCACCCTGGGGAAAGTGGATCGGAACTTGTGTCCCGAGGTCGTCCCCAAAACATGTGTTCAACCTGGAGGACTTTAGCCAGGCACTGGTGACTCATTAACTCCCTGTCACCCACCAACAGCCAGATTCAGCTGGGGAGGGCAGGCTGGGACCGGGGGATGTGAGCTGAACCCGTCCTTACTTCTTCTGGCTATAAATTCAGTTCCCTTCCAGAGGACATTGAAACCTTGACTGGAATTTTTCTCCCATAATTTCCATCTGTTGTGGTTATTTTTTTGTTGTTATTGTTCTGAGGCATGACCGTTGTGCTATTTGATATTTTGGTGGAATTTGCACAAATTCCATCAAGAATTACATAGCTGGGGGGGGGGGGGGGGGGGGGGGCGGGGTGGCATATGCCGGTGATCCCATCGACTTGGGGGGCTGGGGCAGGAGGATCATAAGTTGGAGGCCAGCCTCAGCAGTTTAGCAAGACCTCAAGCGACTCAGTGAGACCCTGTCTCTAAATAAAACACAAAACAGGGTTGGGGATGGGGCTCTGTGGCTAAGTGACCCTGGGTTCAATCCCCGGTACCAAAAGGAATGACATTGCTCAGAGTTCTGCCAGGGGTAGTGGTGACCATAGCCTTATGGAGTCATGATGGCCTTGGCAATGGGAATAGTTCCTACCGCTCAGGAAGGTGAAGGCTTAGGTGAGATGGAATTTGTGAAGCACCCCTCAGGGTATACAGCAATCATAAGTGTTAACTCTGAGTTCTGAGAAAGGGGGACTGGATACCTGACAACCCTCGGGATGGGGAGAGACATCTGCAAATAAATGAATAATGACCCGTGTTTGGAAATCCGCTCCCACAGAGACGGACTGGCTGTAAAGGAGGTTCGGGGGTGAAATTTGAGATCGGAGTCAAAGAAGGAGCTGTGTTGACTGGGGTGAGGGTTCTCAATAGAGGGAGCAGTGAGTGCAAAGGCCCTGTGGTCAGCTGGTGCAAAGGCCCTGTGGTCAGAGGAAGCCGCGTCCTTTCAGGACACTTAAGGCGTTCTGGTCCCTGCGAGGATTCGAAGACATCTTGGATGCACAGGGTGGATGACGGGTGAATGTTCCTGCTGTGGGCTGGGAACATCTGACTGGGACAGAGGGACGGTGTCCCGTGGCCCTCCATCAGCAGGTGGCTCTGGGTGAGGAGCTCTAGGGTACCATGGACCTGAGATCGCTGACCAAGCATCATGGGCTTCATGGTGACACGGTCACACACGGGGGGGGGGGGTGGAGACCCCAGGGGGACACAGGGGTCATGCCATCTACAGCCAAAGAGAGAGGCCTTGGGGGAGTTAACCCAAGACCCCTTGATAGTGGACTCTCGGCTTCCGGGACGGTGAGGCGTGCGCATCCTGCTCTGGTATCTGTTACGCGGCTGTAGCTGACTCACTCATACACCCCCACAGCACAGAGGGCCGCTGGATGGTGCCAGCTCTGCACACCCCTGCAACATCTGCGAGGGGAGGCGTCTCAAAGATTCCAGGGCAGATCTTGACACGCTGTGCGCGCTGGGGACGTGCATCCAACCCGTCATTCAGGTTTAAGTCTTTCTGAAATTTATTCATTCAACTATTGGGTGCTTACTGTATGCTTCATGCTGAAGATATGAAGGGCTAGAAATCACTGCTGGCCGGGATGGAGCTTCCATTCTGTTGGAGGAGACAAAGGATAAATAATAGAAAATGGAAAATACGTAATAAAGTAAGAAGGCAAAGCCAGGCCCGGCGTCTCATGACTATCATCCCAGTGACTCAGGAGGCTGGGGCTGGAGGATTGCAAGTTGGAGGCCAGCCTCAAAAACAGTAGTGAAACCTTGTCTCAAGACAAAAAATAAAAAGGGCAGAGGGTTCAATCCCCAAAATTGTGTGGGGGGGGAAATGTTAAAAAGGTAATAGTTGCCAAGAAAAAGAAAAAAAAGCTAAAATGGGATAGGAAAATTAAAACAGCCGAGAGGGACATGATGTGACTCAGATTTCAACAGAGTCATTCTGACTGTTTTTGGGTTTGCGGACCCTCGGGGCCCCTAGCGCTAAGGCTGCTGAGGATGCACCTTAGTTTCAAGCGTCTTCTGACCCTTTGCTGCAGTTGTCCAATACACCCGACGCGGGACCTCGACCCCCTCACTAGCTCCAGATCATGCTCCCCCGCCTCCCGGGAGAAGGAGTCAGCTTCATAGAAGGAGCGCTGTCCACGTGCCCAAGGGGTGGCCGTGCGTTAGATGCCCCGTGGTGCAGCCAGACCAGCTCGCCTGGCCCCTCTCCTTCCTGCTGCGCCCTCTGAGTGGGTTCTGGGTCTGGGAAACGCTTGGCTGGGGATCCGGCTGGAATGTGGGTCAAAGGGCGCCGCAGGGGACTGGCACTCGCGGCTCACGTGCCTCTCTCGCGCTGACCGCTGACTTCCCAGAGCGCTCGCGCGCTCGCTCTCTCTCTCTCTCTCTCTCTCTCTCTCTCGCAGCTGGGAGCCAACGCATCCGGAGGAAATCGCTTCGGACTGGAGCAGCCCCGAGAACCGCGCTCCGTAGACCAGGAGCCCTGAAGGTGTCCCCGGAGAGCCGCTGTCACCGGCCTCCAGGGGAGGTCAGCAAACCTCCGGGGCAGTCGGAGGCCAGGCTGGCAGCGCTGGTGGCTTGCCCAGCGGGACGACCAGACACCGTATTTCTCCAACAACAGCCCCCAGGCAAGTCCCCTGATTCACCCGGCAGCACCGGGAGAGCGGATCGCGCGGGGTGGACACGGGGTTGCGCAGCTGACCCCGCCAGCCATGTCCCCGGTGGGTGGACAGCTCGGGGGCACCCTTTCAGCGCCCTTCATAGGCCCCAGGGCTCGCCTCACGTCCTCACCTGGGGACCGAGCTTGGGAAGCGGACCCTCGTGGACGCGGAGGCAGCGGGTGGGCGGCTGGAGGCCGGGTCGGGCGCCAGATCTGGCTGCGCACAGCACCAGCAGCTCCCGGGCTCTGAGCCCTGCGCGGCGCTGGGGGCTGGAGTGGCGGGGGCGTGTCGGGGGCGTGGTCTGGGCGGGGCCTGGGCGGGGCGGGGCGCGTGACGCGCGGCGCTGGCCAATGGGAAGCGCGCCCGAGGCCGAGCCTCCTGCGAGCCTTCGCGGCGCCCGCGGCGTCACGTGAGCGGCCGGGAGGGAGCGCAGAGCGCGGCCGGCGGGCGAGACTCCGCCGCAGCGGGCAGCGGGCGAGCGAGCGCAGAGACCCGCGGCCCGGCCCGCGGCCGCCCAGACCCCGACCGGGCGGCCGCCCCCAGCTCAGCCCGGGCGGCCAGCAGGACGCCGGGGCCTGGCCGCTGGCCAGGCGCGCGCCAAGTTCAGGTGGGAGAGGCTCGGAGGGGACGGGGCCGCGTGGACACGGCCGGGGTGACCGGGGCTGCCGGGCGCGGGCTGCCCTTGGAGAGCTCGCGGCCCGGGGCTCCGCGGGCGCCCGGGGGAGCCACGCGCTGCGGGAGGCGGGAGGTCGCCAGGCCCCGGGGGACAGTGACCCCGCGCGCCCACCAACGTCCACACGCTGCAGGCCCGAGCGGCCGCCCCGGCGCCGGTTCCGAGGGCCCGCGGTCGCCTTCCGGGCCAGCCCTCCCATATGGTGGGGCGCGGCGGGGCCTGGCCCGGGGAGCGGGCAGGGGCGCTGGCCGCCCGCTGTTGGGGGGGGCAGGGGGCGGAGGGGCCCGTGGCCGAGGGGTTACTATCGGTCACCGGCAGCGGGGCAGCGCGGGGAGGGGGTGGCACAGGCCGAGGGCATGGTGCCCAGCGGGCAGCGCTCCCGGGCTCCGCAGAGGGGTCCGGGCCGACTCCCTGCGCCTCGCGAACCCACGCGCCGTCCCCCCGCGCGAGTGGACACCCACGCTGACCCCACGCGCGCGGACACCCGTGCCACCACCTCGGCTGCCGCGCACAACGCCCCGCACACGCAGTCACACGACACACACCCACACCCCTTTGCACACGGCTTAGACCCCCATCTGCACCCTCACGGAGTCCCCCCGGGGGGGGGGGGGGCTCTTCCAACATTACCAGAGAGGTGGCTGAGGTGGCAGCCGAGGGGACAGAGGAAATGCCATCCCTACCCAATACAGCCGTCCTGTTCCCTCTTCTCTCCCCACTGTGGTGTTACCCAGGGACTCCACCCCCCCCCCCTCCACCTCCAAGAAGTGTTTTCTTTCCTGGTTGGTCCCAAGAAATGCCCCCAAAGTCTTCCCTCCCAAGAACCCGGTGGCCCTCACCGTCTACAGGTGCTGAAAACAGCGGGACAAGGCGACTTGAGGGCCTGTGGGCAGCGCAGGGAGCAGAGACTCTTATTTTGAAAGGCGGCCCCCACCCGCCACCCCCGTGATTTGCTCGCTGACCCAATGGCGAGCCCTTGGCGCGCGCTGGGCTTGTTATCAATTACATGTTGTTCCTGCAGCCGCTGTGTCCCCGGGAGGATAAACAGCAGGCCTGGCCGGCGAGGGAGGGGGCGGAGTCCAGCGGCCAGCCGGGGACTGTGCCCGGAACAGCGCGTCCCCTCCCCCTGCATGCAGCCTGCGCCACGTGCTGGTGTTTTTTAGGGACCAGAGCTGGCCCCAGCCCGAATACTCCCTTTTTTTTTTTAATGCCTGCACCTCGGGAAGTCCGAGAGCCCCTTCTGGGCTCCCCAGATCCTGCCCTGTCCTGCTGCAGGGACACTCAGCCTGGTCTTCAGACCCTGCTGCCTACCTGGCTTCCCCACTCAGCCTCATCCAGCCAACCTTGGGGCATGGCCCTACATGGCCATCCAAAGAGCTTATATTCTGGTGGGGAGGTCCACAGGAAAGGACTCCACACACACACAACCAAGACCATTCACCACTGTGGCACCTGCTAGGGACAGTATAAAACGGGATGATGTGACCCAGTGGCTTCTGAGCTCAGGGCGCTTAACCCCTGAGCCCCGTCCCCAGCCCTATTTGGTATTTTATTTAGAGACAGGGTCTCCCTGAGTTGCTCAGGGCCTCCCTTTGGCTGAGGCTGGCTTTGAATTTGCGATCCTCCTGCCTCGGCCTCCGGAGCTGCTGGGATGACAGGTGGGGGCCACCGCGCCGGCTGCAGTCATTGTTTAATATTGTGGAACCTCTGGTTGGTGGTCACATTTCAGGGGAGGTTTGAAGCAGCCTGTTCTGGGTTCCAGGGAGGCTGGAGTCCCCGGATTCCTTAGCATCCCAGCAGAGGGCAGGTGTGTGTGGGGGGGGACTCCCAGGTGCTCATTCATTTGAGGGCCACCTTCATGGCTGCTTCTGGCCCTGATTGTGCCCCTGACCCTGTCCTAAGTGTTGGGCTCTGGAGACAGAACGGGCGGGTGTAGCCGGGCGCCACCTGCCATCCCAGGGGCTCTGGAGGCCGAGGCAGGAGGATCGCGAGTCCAAAGCCAGCCTCAGCCAAAGCGAGGCCCTGAGCAACTCAGGGAGACCCTGACTCTAAATAGGGCTGGGGACAGGGCTCAGGGGTCCAGGACCCCTGGGTTCAATCCCTGGTATCAACCCCCCCCCCAAAAAAAAGAAGAAGGAGGGGTGGGCACAGAGGTGACACCAGGTTCCAGAGACACTCTGGCTCCCAATGCCAAACACTCTCCCTTTCCCCAACCTGGATAAACACCCAGCCCGCTGTGGTCACTGGGCGGGGACAAAGGTCCAGAAAGGTGGCCCTATTGCAGGCAGACACACTGTTGACTCTCCTTGAACACCGGACTAGCATGGCCTTTGGCTTCAGAGAACACACTGTCCCCCCCTCCTCTCCACGAACATCATCTGAGCCCCTCCTGGGCACCGGGTGTCACACTGGGGACTGGGGACACATGGAGCACACTGTCTAGTGGGAAGACGGGCATTAGCCGAGTGTCCCCAAGGTGGTGAGTGTCCCAGGTGGGGACTGAAGTGGCGGTGGGGTGTAGGGCAGGAGAGCGCATCCTAATTGGCCAACGGGGTCCCGACTTGTGACCCTCGGGATGGTTGGGGGATTGAGGCGGCCACATGCATTGGGTGCTCTAGGATCTTGGGTGAACGCATCACCGCCCGAGGGGTGGGGCCTCGTCCACCATGGTGGCTAAGTCTCATGTGTCCTGGGGAGGGTCTTGTTCAAGCTTGTGGTGGGGGGATGACAATCAGATGGGGAAACTGAGCCCTCTGGGGACAGGCACTTACTGTCCGTGAACTTTTCTGCCTCCAAACCACAGTTTTCCCAGTTAAAAATAGACCCCGCCTGGGGACGGTGGCCCACGCCTGTCATCCCAGCAGCTGGGGAGGCTGGGGCAGGAGGATCGCAAGTGGGAGGCCAGCCTCAGCCACTCAGCGAGGCCCTGAGCCACTCAGGGAGACCCTGTCTCTAAATAAAATCTAAAAAGGGCTGGGGACGGGGCTCAGGGGTTAAGCACCCCTGGGGTCAGTCCCTGGGACCAAAAAATAAAATAAACTAAATATCAGATGGAGTAATTTTTATTTATATAAAGTAGATGATTTTTAAAAAAAAAAAAAAAGAAATCTGAAGTGGACCCCTGATGGGCACCTTGCATTTTTATTCGCTGGATCTGGCAACCCACGGAAGCCCAACGGCTTGGGGTCAGAGAGCAAGTGGCCACCGTCCCCTCCCCCCTCCTGTGACTCAACAGAGGTGACGCTGAGGTTCGGGTCCTACGATGGGCAGTGGCCCTCTGAGTCCTGGCCGTTCTGGGGACCCGGAGCCTCTGATGGCCTCCCCTCCAACGCGGTTCTCCCCTCAACGCACGCACGTGGACTCTTTTCCAGGATCTTTCTGGAAAAATCCATCTGGAACCAGAACGGCCGGGTTGTGCAACGGGGCTCCGAGGGCTCTTTTGCAAACTCTGTGGCAGCGTTTCAGAGGACACTCTTGCAGGCCCCTGTCCCTGGGGGTGAGGCAGGAGCCTGGCATTGGGCAGCTGGGAGCCGGGCAGGCGACCCAGGGTGGGGGCAAGCCCCGCCGAGGGGCCGCGAGCCACCGTCCTGACTCTCTTTCCTCCTTCACAGCGGCCACCAGCGCGGCCCGGCCAGCATGGTGGACCACCTGCTGCCAGTGGACGAGACCTTCTCGTCGCCCAAGTGCCCCGTGGGGTACCTGGGGGACAGGCTGGCCGGCCGGCGGCCCTACCACATGCTGCCCTCGCCCCTTTCCGAGGACGACAGTGACGTGTCCAGCCCCTGCTCCTGCGCCAGCCCCGACTCCCAGTCCCTGTGCTCCTGCTACGGCGGTGTCCCCGGTGCCGAGGGACAGGACAGCATCCTGGATTTCTTGCTCTCCCAGGCCACCCTGGGCGGCGGTGGCGGCGGCAGCAGCGGGAGCCTGGGGGACAGCAGTGGCCCTGTGACCTGGGGGACGTGGCGGAGGGCCCCGGTGCCCGTGAAGGGGGAGCACGTTTGCTTCCCAGAGTTCGCGCTGGGGGACCCCGAGGAGGTGGCCAGGCCCTTCCAACCCACCCTGGAGGAGATCGAGGAGTTTCTGGAGGAGAACATGGAGCCGGAGGCCAAGGGGGCCCCCCAGGGCAGCGGCCAGGACTCGGGAGCCTGTGGCCAGCTCCCCACGGGGCCCCTCAGGAGCCACGCGCACCCAGGCCCTGGCGGGAGAGAGCGCTGTCCCCCTGCGCCCGGTGGCTCGAGCGCGCAGGGCCCCGCCGAGGGCCCCTCCGCCGAGGGCGCAGTGCCGGTCCTGCTGCAGATCCAGCCGGTGCCCGTGAAGCAGGAGCCGGGCGCGGGGCCGGCCTCCCCTGGCCAGGCCCCCGAGAACGTCAAGGTGGCCCAGCTGCTGGTGAACATCCAGGGCCAGACCTTCGCACTGGTCCCCCAGGTGCTGCCCTCCTCCAGCCTGAGCCTGCCCTCCAAGTTCGTGCGCATCGCCCCCGTGCCCATCGCCGCCAAGCCCGCGGGGTCGGGGGCACTGGGGCCCGGGCCCGGCCTGCTGGGGGGACAGAAGTTCCCCAAGAGCCCGGCGGCCGACCTCCTCAAGATGCACAAATGCACCTTCCCCGGGTGTCACAAGATGTACACCAAGAGTAGCCACCTCAAGGCCCACCTGCGCCGGCACACCGGGGAGAAGCCCTTCGCCTGCACCTGGCCCGGCTGCGGCTGGAGGTCAGTATGGAGGGGACAGGCCACAGGGCCCACAGGCCCATTAGGAAGGGGACAGAGGGGTGGGCAGGGGCGGGGCCAGAAACGCACAGCCACCCAGAGACTCGCTTGTCCCTCCCTATGACTAACGCTGAGAGTGTCCCATTCATAATGACCAGGTAAGGCTGGCAGGGACCCCTGCTGGGTCCCTGATCTGGTGGAAAGAGGGTGACGTGGCAGGGGCTAGGCCACAGCAGAAGGGCACTGGGGCTAATCAGGACCCTTGAATGTGATGGATGGAGGCTGGGGCTAGAGGCTTGGAGTAAGGACCACCTTGACTCCCAGCTGACATCTGAGCGCGAGGTTGGGCGAGCCAGGGACCCTGCCCAGCGTGATTCAAACCCAGGGGACTGATTTAGGGAAGCCGCGTCTCAGCCAGGTGCCAGGGTGCCCAGCAGCTTGGGAGGCTGAGGCAGGAGGATCGCAAGTTGGAGGCCAGCCTCAGCCACTTAGTGAGTCCCTAAGCAACTCAGGGAGACCCTGTCTCTAAATAAAATATGAAAAGGGCTGGGGACGGGGCTCAGGGGTTGAGGGACCTTGGGTTCAATCTCTGGGACCAGAGAGAGGGGTGGGGGAGAGAGGGGACAGAGAGGGAGAGAAGTCCCACTCAGTGCTCCCACTCAGTGCTCCCACTCAATGCTCCCACTCAGCCTGGGGACCAGCTTCCTCACAGCATAGTTGAGAAGCCACCAAGGGTGGGGGACAGGCCTGGCCAATGCTGGGCTCCAGGTGGCCAGTCCCCCCAGGCTCTGCCCTGCGCGGTGTTGGGGGAAACCAGCCCCCCCAGGTCAGGCCGTGCTCAGGAGGACCCAGGCTGTGGTGCCAGAGGCAGAGCGGACCCCACATGTCCCCCTCCCCATTTTGGGTCCCGCGATAGGTGTCTTGGTGTCCCTGTGCCTGTGACCTGCTGTGTGGTGGCCGGTGGCCGTGGCCCCGGCCAGCTGTGCGGCTTTGGTCCTCTTGGCTGGGTACCGGTTCCAAGAGCTGGTGGGAGCTGGCCCGAGCAGGGGTCCTGGCATGCCAGGGCAGGCGGTGGCAGGAGCTAGGAGTGGCCATGCGACGTCCCAATGCCCCTTTCCCCGAGGAGGAGGGGCTGCCTTCTCCCAGCCACCCAGTGCCAGAGAGCAGGTGGGGCCTTAGCCCTGCGCGTGTCCCCGGAGGCCGATGGTCACCCTTGCAAGCTAGGAGGTCCTCAGTCCCTGAGACAGCAGGTGGGCAAGAGTGGAGGTTGAGCCGGGCCTGTCGCCCAGCTGCTCGGGAGGCTGAGGCAGGAGGATGTCAGGTAGAGGCCAGCCTCAGCCACTTAGGCGCTCAGCAGGTCATTGAGTCCCCGTCTCTGAGTAAAATGCAGCCCAGGGCCGGGTTGGGGCTCCGGGGCCAAACACCTGGGTTGACCGGGGGGGAATATCTCCAATACCTGTGACCCCGGCGCTGACCCCCAGCCCAGGACCCCTCCACAGGGGAGGACACTGGCCTGGGGACACCAGCAGGGACGGGCTGCCAAGACCCCGTCCTGGGCCTCTGTGACTTCTCCACGGAGCAGGTCTGTCCTCTGTGGTGTCCCAACGTGGCAAAGGCTGTCCCACGGGGAGCTGAGGGTCCCCACCCCTGGGGAGGGACATTTCTGTGACCCTCTGGGGAGACCCAGGCTGACTGCAGGGGTCCTGGCCTCCTGGGTTGACCCCAAGAGGCTTGTGTCCCTTACCTGTGGTGACAGTCTCCCAACTGGGGGCAAAGGGAGGACTGCAGCTCTCAGATGGGAATGGACCCAGCTTTGGGGACAGCCCAGCGTGACAAGAATCATGTCATATTTATGGGCCAGGGGCTGCTGCTGAGAATCAGGGTCCCCTCCACCCGGTCCCTCGCCTGCCTCACCCCTCCACAGGGGACCCGTCACCTCCCGTAGAGCATGGTGCCAACCCATTTGCCACAGATGGTGGCGCTGAGGCACGGGCACTGTGTCACACGGCCCCAGGTTGTGGCTTGTGAGCGTGCATTTGGGGCACACGCCAGGCGGGCACCTCAGCCCACGCTGGTTCTCTGGGGACCCCGCTTGGCATCACGGGGATGCGTCTGTGCCCCCACCCAGGGTGCTGCTTCCCAGGGGAAAAGAGCTCATCGGTTGTCAAAATGAGTCCGTGAGCAGCCCGGTGCGTGGCCCAAGCCTGTCATCCCAGCGGCTCGGGAGGCTGAGGCAGGAGGATCGCGAGTTAGAGGCCAGCCTCAGCCACTGAGCAGGCCCTGAGCAACTCAGGGAGACCCTGTCTCTAAATAAGACACAAAACAGAGCTGGGGACGGGGCTCAGGGGTCGAGGGACCCTGGATTCAATCCCTGGTCCCCCCCCACAAAAAAAAAGAGTCCCTGAGGTTGGGGTCAGTGACCCCATTTGTCAGAGGAAATAGAGGCACAGAATGGTCAGTTCACTTCTCCACCGTCCCACAGCTAACAAGGGGCTGACCCAGAGCTCCACCAGAGCTGGCTGTCCCCTGCCCACCTTAGACTGGGGGCCGCTCTCCAGCCCTCTGCTCACCGTCTCCCGGGGCGCTGCTTTGCTTCCTGGTCCCCTGGCGAGGGGACAAGCTTCCTCTTCCTGGCTGGCTCCGGCTCCGGCCCCTCTGCTGCCCCACACCGTAACCGTCTGTCCCCACGGGGTGGCCGTCTTGCCCAGGTACTCAGCCTGGCTTCCTCCTGCCCTGTCGGTCCCCGGGTCTCTGTCCGTCCCCGGGTCTCTCTCTGTCCCCTCTGGTGGCAGGACTTCACACCCACACTGGCTGGGACACCAGCAGCTGCCTGTTCCCGTCTCAGCATCTGGGAAGTGTGGCTGCCTTCCTAGAAGTTTCCTTGCCTCGCCCTCAAACACAGGGGCCTTTGTTCCCTGCAGCGGAACATCCTGTTCCAGAGTGGCCCGCGGATCCTTCCAGAAAGAACCCCTTCTGCCGCGCAAGGGTGGAGATTTAAAACAGGTCGCAGCCACGAGAGGGGTGACCTGGTGTCATTCATAATGGGCGCTGCAGGCCTGAGGCCACAGAGCCAGGAGGTGGGAGGGACAGGATTCGGGCTCCCAGGCTGCTCTCTGGACCCCTGTGTCCCTGCTGTCCCTATGCAAGGAGGCATCCTCTGACCCCATCCTCATGGTGGGTCTCATGTACAGATGGGAAGGTTGCTCACTGCACAACTAAAGGGGAGGGGGGTGCCATTTCCAGTATGGTCTCTGAGACGACTTTGTGATGGCTTTTTTTGGGGGGGGTAGGGGAGTACCAGGGATCGTACCGGGAGTACAGGGTCTCGCTGAGTTGCTTAGGGTCTTGCTTTTGCTGAGACTGGCCTCCAACTCATGATCCTCCTGCCTCAGCCTCCCCAGCCGTTGGGATGGCTTTTTTGTGTATCTCCCCGGCTGCCCCTCACTCCTCAGGACGGGTCTGCGGTGCACCCTGTCCTGGGTGGGAAGACGGAGGCCCAAGGTTGTTCCAGCTCAGGACCCCGCAGGGTGCGTGTTGGGGGGATGACAGCCGGGCTAGGGCAGGGGACGCGCCATCCAGGGGGCGGTGTGACTCGGGTGCAGGGTCCTGCCCGGCCAAGGACCGACCTTGGCCCGGGTCGCAGTTCCTGGGAGGGGCTCCGAGCTCTGGCTCCTGGTGCCTGGGTCAGCTGTCTGCTCAGAAGCTGCGCCCCTGACCCTGGCCCGGGGTCACGGGTCCCCCATGACATATGCCACCCAGCCTGCAGTCATCGCCCTCCATTTAATGCACTGACTGAGCCTCGCCCTGCAGCAGGCCGGGCTGGTCCCTGGACACTCCTGGGGAACTGGACATGTCCTCCTTCATGGAGATGACAGTCTAGGGACAGACTGATGGTCACCCAAAAGCTGACCCCAAGCTAGATGCACGTCTGTGATCCCAGCAGCGCGGGAGGCCGAGGCAGGAGGATCGCAAGGCCCTGAGCAACTCGGCAAGGCCCTGTCTCAACAGGAGAAGGCCGGGCTGGGGCTCAGGGACAGAGTGTCCCTGGGTTCAGTCCCTGGCCCCAGAGAGAAGAAGGCTGAGACTAGTTTGAAGTCACAGTGGTGGCAAGAGTGAGGAAGGACAGGCAGGCAGTGTCACGGAGCCCAGAATGGCCATCCTGGACGCTCTCTTGGTGAGTGGCAGGGACCTGGGCTGAACTCCAAGGGATGGTACAAGAGGGCAGCGGGAGAGCAGGCAAGAGCGTTCTAAATACAGGAAAGTATGTGCAAATGTCCTGTGGCGAGAGGGACCATGAACAGATCAATAGAGATGGAGCGCAGGAGGCAAGAACACGTGGATAGGGGTCGCGAGATGTGACAGGTCCGTCTGCCACCAGGATCGGGTAGGGAGAGCCTCAGAGCCCCAAAATCAGTGACAGGAAGTCAGGGCTCTTTATCCCAACTTTGGTCCTTGCCCATGGGAAGTACTTGCTCCCAGGCCCTCAGAGGCCAAGACAGAGATGTCATGAGAACCACCTGAACTCTTATGTTGTAGCAGCACGTCAAGCACATCAAGGTGCACCGCGTCCCCAGCTGTATCTTATATTTTGTTTAGAGACAGGGTCTCACTGGAGTTGCTTGGCGCCTCACTTTTGCTGAGGCTGGCCTCCAACTTGTGATCCTCCTGCCTCAGCCTCCTGAGCCTGGGATTACCTCTGGCACCACAGTGCTGGCCCTCCTGAACTCTTAAGAACACCTGGCAGGGGTGCATTGTTGTTTGGGGTCTCAGAGGTCCCCACTTACAGGCCAGCATGGTCCAGGAGTAGGGTGGGCTCAAACCCAAGGACACCTCTTGGGTCTGTACTGGAAGTAAGATGGAAGAGCTGGGGATGCCTTTGTAGTCCTGGGGACCCTGTATCCTCCCCTGGACCTCCGTTTCTCCTCTGGACAGGCTTCCTTGGACCCTCACAAATGGCCCTGTGGCCTTTTGGTCCCGGGAAACCAGGATCACACGCCCCTTTCCTGAAGGAGGCTGGTGGGGGTGGGGGGGGCTGCCGCCTGGGTGTGCCTTAGCCTTAGGTCCCTTCCTGTGGGGAGTACTCGGCAGCTGCTCTGGAGGCCCTGAGGCAGGAGGCTGGACCTTGCTGCCCCAGCTCCAGCTTGAGATTTGCAGGCGTTTCCATCTTGGAGAGGCTGCAGGGGCCTGGGGCGCTGGAGGGTCCAGGCGCAGGAGGTAGGGACGCATGACTTTCGGGGTACAGGACGGTCAGGCCCCAGGGGGCCTGGGGTGCAGGACGGCCAGGGCGCAGGAAGGTCCAGGCGCAGGGGACCTGGGGCACAGGACAGTCAGGGCCCAGGGGGCCTGGTGCGCAGGATGGTCGGGGCACAAGAGGTTGGGGCACAGAGGACCTGGGGCGCAGGAGGGTCAGGGCACAGGAGGTTCCAGGCGCAGGAGGTCGGGACGCATTATGGTCGGGGCGCAGGAGGCCGGGGCACAGAACGGTCGGGGCCCAGGGGGCCTGGGACGCAGGATGGCCGAGGCGCAGGGGACCTGGGATGCAGGAGAGTCAGGACACAGTGGTGGCAAGAGTAAAGAACCACCTGAACACTTATGTTGTGGCAGGGGGGACCCGGGGCGCAGGAGGCCGGGGCGCAGGAGGGTCAGGGCGCAGGGGGCCTGGGGCGCAGGAAGGTCGTGTCTGGACCGGCCTCCGCCTCCCAGGAGGAGTCACTTGCTCTTTTAAGAACCAGCAAAGCCTTGCTGACCCTGCCCTCCTCCTGGGGAGGCTGCTGGCCCCATGGCCTGGCCGCCAGGCAGGTGCCACGCGTCCCCGCGGGCCCTGGGGAGCGCCCCGCGCGCGCCTGGCTGACCGCGCTGCCGTGTCCCGCAGGTTCTCACGCTCCGACGAGCTGTCGCGACACAGGCGGTCCCACTCGGGCGTGAAGCCTTACCAGTGCCCCGTGTGCGAGAAGAAGTTCGCGCGGAGTGACCACCTCTCCAAGCACGTCAAGGTGCACCGCTTCCCGCGGAGCAGCCGCGCCGTGCGCGCCGCCAACTGAGCGCCCGCGTCCCCCGGGCCCGGTCCCCTCTGGTCCTTGTCTTTTCCTTTTTTTTTTTTTTTTTTAAAGCAATAATTTATTGGCCTCCTGCAGAGGGTCGCCACGGTGTCCCAGCCCAGCGCTAGGAGGCGCCACCCTGAGCCCACCACCTGCTGCCTTCCCCCAGGGGAGACTTAGACTCTGCCCACACGAGTCCCTGGGGGCTGGGACCCCAGCGCTGGGCCCCAACGACACCGGCCTTAGTGCCTTTATCCCTTTGTGCCTTCCCACGGTGGCCGGGCCTCTGCGGCAAGCCACCAGCTGGAAGCAGGGTTTTTTGGGGGGGGGGGGGTGCCTGGCCCTTCTCCCACTGGGCTCCCCGCCTGGGCCAAAGCCAAGCCTCCACGGCTGGGGAAGAAATGTGCAGTTCCCAGAGGGAGCCATGTTGGGAAGAAGGAAGTAGGCCAAAAGTCCAGGGCTGCACTGTGGTGTCAGAGCAGTTTTGCCCAAGTTACTTGTTCAGCAGGATTGGCAGAGGGTACGCAGGGCCATGGAGAGGCAGGATCTGGCCAGTTGGGGCCCTCAATGTGGGAGAGAGGTGAAAAGTGTCCCCTCTTGGTGTGGGGGGTGGGGCTGGCAGTGAGTGCATGTGTTAGGAATTAAATGTGCAAGACAGACAGACGGTCTTCTGTGCCCAGTGTGACCCCTCCTTTCCTCCTGATCGCCAGACAAATCCAGACACCAGCCTCTAGGGCCACCATCCGGAGGACAGGGGAAAAAGGCCACACTAGGAGTCCAAGAACTAGATAGAACTTCCCAGCCCGGATTTAGCAATGCATTCCTCTCTAGAAATTAATATCAAACCAACTAGCTTGTTTTGACAGGTTTATTTCACATCCTATGAATGTATGTAAATAAACTGTACATAGGGACATCGACGTAAAATATCTTTTAATAACATATCGACATTTGTGTAAATTTGAAATTAAAAAAAAAATCTACAAAGCTGGTGTACATATGTGACAATTATGTATATTTTCTTTGTTGCTTCATAAAAAAATATATATTTACTTTGCCAATAAAAAGAAAAAAGAACTCGATCACTTTGGGGTGCACTCGTACTGTCTTCCGTGGCTCCTGGGAGGTGGGGAAGATTCAGGGCTGTTAGAGACAGGGTCTCCCTGAGTTGCTTAGCACCTCGCTTTTGCTGAGGCTGGCCTCCAAATTGCAGTCCTCCTGCCTCAGCCTCCTGAACCATCTGTGGAAAGCCTGTGAGACCCACATGAAGCTCTTCCTACCACTGTTGAGTGATTCAAGCACTTATTGTGCACCTTCTGTATACTTGGTTGGTGCTGAGGGCAGATCCCTAGAAATGTGGCTGAGCCATGGGTTGTTTTTTGGTTGGTTGGTTGGTTGGTTTGCTTGTTTGTTTCGGTGCTGAGGATCGACCCGGGGCCTCATGCAAGTGCTCCACCATTGAGCCACATCCCCAGCCACATCCCCTGGCCTGCCTCAGCCTCTGGGCTAGTGTGAAACCTGGCACCAGGCATAGTGGTGCATGCCTGTCATCCCAGTGGCTGGGGAGGCTGAGGCAGGAGGATCACAAATCGGAGGCCAGCCTCAGCAACTTATCGAGGCCCTAAGCAACTCAGCGAGACCCTGTCTCAAAATAGAATATAAAAAGGGCTGGGGACGGGGCTCCGTGGTTAAGCACCCCTGGGTTCAATCCCTGGTGGCTTAGGAACCGCTGGCTGTTGCGCTGACATTGACTTTTTGCCTGTGCCCAGCACCCAACTCTGCTGATTGGAGGACGGATATCTCCTCCTGATGGTCCTGTCCTGGGGACAGAACTGGGCCTTGTGACCTTTGCCCTTTGCCCCTGGCAAACATGCCCTGGAGAAGTACAGGATCGATTTCCAGCATTAACATAATCTTTCAACCATAAACGATCAATTGCAACTGCAGATAAGGGGGACCCGGGAAGGACTTGGAGGATGGCCATTTGGTCAGGACCCTGAGGCTTGGAGAAAGTCGTGTGCCTGTGAACCTCCAGCCGAGGACCGACCTTGGCCAGGCTCCCTCACCCCAGTGGCTGGGTCCCATCCCTCAACTCCTCCAGCTGACCTGTCCAGCCGAGGCCAGGCTGGCCATTTGAGGTTGTCCCCCAAATGGGGACCACAGGTTTCTCACCTGAAGTGTGCATTGTCACAGGTCGGGTGCCTCTGCCCTGCAGTGAACCTCAGTGAGGAGGGTTGGGTTGGTCCTCAGCTGTGCGTAGTGAGCAGGGCCCTGACGTCTCTCTTTAATTTTTTTTTTTTTTTTTTTAATTTTTAAGTGCCAGGGATTGAACCCAGGGCTGCTTAACCACTGAGCCCCGTCCCCAGCCCTTTTTATGTTTTATTTATAGACAGGGTCTGGCTGAGATGCTTAGGGCCTCACTAAGCTGCTGAGGCTGGCCTCCAACTTGCGATCCTCCTGCCTTGGCCTCCCACGCACCCAGGAGAAAGCACCCTTTCTTGATCACTATACCAGGCAACATATGGGTCAGCGAAGAAATCTCTGAATTCAGGTGGAAGTGTGGCCTGGCGCGGTGGCACCAGCCGATTCGGAGGCTGTGGTTGAACGCCCCTGGGTGCAGTCCCTGGCGCACACACACACACACACACACACAAAAATGTAAGTATATTTTCCTCTTTTAAAAGAGTCTGAAAATAAGTTGGAAGGGTTAATATGGTGACTCTAGCCTGACACACGCAGGCTTCTTCTCTCCTGATGCTCCTCCTCTGAGCCCTGGGGTGTTGATTCAAGAGGACTTGGGCCAGCAGGTGAAGGCTGGTGGGCCCCTCCTGCCTGACAGGCGAGATTTGCATAATCTGGTCTTCTCGTCTCCCATTGGCCAGCATGGAGTCACATGGCCTCACGCACTGCAAGGGATGCTGGGAAATGTAGTCTTTCGCTGGGAGGCTCTTGCCTAGCTAGGGTATGCAAGCTCTATTGCAAGACAAAAAGGGGACAGTACAAATCGGGGACAGCCAGCAGTTTGTGCTGCCAGCCCAGCGTACTCTGGCCTCCCAGGAGGCTGCCCAGCATGGGCGCCAAGGGGCACCCGTGGGCTCATCCTCCGGGCCTCCCTCCTCCACCTTGGCTGAAGGGCACCCCAGGAGGGTTTGCAGGGACAGGGGAGTGTCGCGAAGGGAAATCCACGAGGAGCCAGGAGGTCCCCGTGCAGAAGCTCAGAGTGCACATGACAGAATCCCAACTCCCCGTGGACAAAGCAAACCTTCACCAGGCCACCGTGGTCTGCTCTTGAACTGGGGGCAGAGTCTGTCTGTCCAAGGGAAGGGGACAGAGTCACAGAGCAGGGAAATGGTAGCTTCTCTTAGCTGCATTGGTGCAGAGAGTGCAAGGCACGGGCCCGAGGAGGCCTCTGGAAGTGGGCACATGCACCTGCCCGGATGGGAATTGGAACCTACCCAAGGGGACAGCAAATAGGGACCAGACGGATCTAGTATGTGACAAAGACCAGGTCCCAACAGGCCCTGCTTTACTTGAGGATAGACACAGTTGCGCTGGGGCCTATTTAAAGGTGCAGAGTAAGGCAGAGAGAAGCATCCACGGGGACTCAGAAAAACAGTGTCCACCTGGACGGTCCCCTGCATTTACTGGCTCCTAGCAGGTCCTGAGGAGACCCAGGCTGCAATATCAGAGTATGAGCGGAGGGTAAAACGGGGTGGAAGGGAAATGGGAGATTGTGATGAGCGGGGCTCACACCTGTGATCCCAGTGGCTCCGGAGGCTGAGGCAGGAGGATTCCAAGTTCGAGGCCACAGCCTCAGCTACTTGGCCCTAAGTGACTTAGTGAGACCCTGTCTGTTATGGTCTGGCTGTGAGGTGTCCCCCAAAAGCTCACGTGGGAGACAATGCAGGAGGAGTTGGAGGAGAAAGGATTGGGTTATAGCCTTGACCCAATCACTGGGTTCATCCCTGGGGGTCCCCTGGTGGCCCCTGGAGGCAGGTGGGGTGTGATGGAGGAGGTGGCCCTGGGGCTGTGGCTTGGGGTCTCTATTTGTCCCTGGAGAGTGGCGTCCCTGCTCCCTGATCCCCATGGGAGCTGCTCCCTCCCCACACTCTTCCTCTTATTTAAAGACAGGGTCTCACTGAGTTGCTTAGGGCCTCACTAAGTTGCTGAGGCTGGCCTCCAACTTTTGATCCTCCTGCCTCAGCCTCCTGAAGGCTGGGTTGACAGGCGTCCACCACGGTGCCCTGAAGGATTTGCTTTTTGTGTCTGTCTCTCCTGCCTCAGGCTCCTCTGTCTTCCTCAAATTCCCTGCCTCTTTAAATCAACAGAACACAGGGCAACTCCCTAAAAGGGATGATGATTATAGTTCCTTCCTCTTAGGGTCACAGTGCAGACAAAATGAGTAGAAATTATGAAATGCACCTAGAATAGCATCTGGAAAATAGCAAAGGCTGTTGTTACTTGTGGTTCAATAGTTCAAATTGTTTTTAAAGTGCTGAGGACAGAACCCAGGGCCCAACACATGCTAGGCAAGAGCTAAATCCCCAGCCCTGTTGTGCTATTTTTTTTTTTTTTTTTTTTTTTGGTACCAGGGATTGAATGCAGGGACCCACGACCACTGAGCCACCTCCCCAGCCTGATTTTGTATTTTATTTAGAGACAGGGTCTCGCTGAAAAGTGCTTAGGGCCTCACTGTTGCTGAGGCTGGCTTTGAACTTGTGATCCTCCTGCCTCAGCCTCCTGAGCTGCTGGGATTTCAGGCATGCGTCACCACACCTGGCCAGATTAAGTTCTTTTTTTTTTTTTTTTAGTTGTTGATAGAATTTTATTTTTATTTCTTTATATGTGGTGCTGAGAATTGAACCCAGTGCCTCACACATGCTAGGCCAGCGCTCAAACATGGAGTCACAATCCCAGCCCCCAGGTTAGGTCTTAAAACCGGGGTTGAATCTTAACACATGGAGGACACACTCAACCCCCCCCCCCCCCCCAAACCATAGCAT